ACAAAGCAAAAATTTCAAATGAGATATTGCATTTTGTTATTCCAATATTGCATCTATTAAAATATAAAATTTCAAGATATAAAATATCAAATATAATACATTACATAAAATAGTAAAGTATTAAATTTATTATAATTCATTACAAAAGGTTAATAGTAACAATTTTATTTAGAACATCAAATACAACATTATACTTAAAATATAGAATAGAAAACTACTCTTGGACATTTCCGTCATCAGTCATGTGACTAGTTTCACCTTTAGGGTGATTGACAAAGAAATGGACAACATCCAAACAAGTAAAATCGGCAAAACCATTGCCTACAAGACTTTGGTTAAATCCAATGTTATTGCCAACAAAATTACTCTCTACTTTCTTTTCTTGTTTCTTTATTGATTCCTTATAGAGATCGGCAAGATACTTAGGTGTATGACACACACGAGACCAATGATTATTCATACCACAACGGAAGCATTTACTCTCGCCTTTCTTTTTATTTCCATTTTTCTCACTACTAGTTCCCAACTTCTTGTGAAAGTTAGTATTTTCATTTTGACCACCACAAACGTTAAAACGATTTTTGCCATATTCTCGGCCACGACCACGACCACGACCATCATGCCCTCTATTTTGTCCATTTTTTGAATTTATAGCTGCCGCATTTGCTTCAGGAAATGGGGCAGTACCAGTTGGGCGAGTTTGCTGGTTTTTCAATAAAAACTCATTATTTTGCTCAGCAATGAGCAGAACTTGAATCAGTTCAGAATATTTTGTGTAACCCCTTTCACGGTATTGCTGCATTAGGAGCACATTTGTAGGGTGAAAAGTGGTAAATATTTTTTCGAGCATTAGTGCATCATTCATTTCATCACCACATAATTTCAAAAGTGATGTGATTCAAAAAACTGCTGAATTGTACTCACTAACAGTTTTGAAATCTTTGAAACGTAAGTGCATCCAATCATGACGAGCTTTTGGCAGCATAACCGTCTTTAGGTGATTATATCTTTCATTCAAACTCATCCATAAGTCAAATGGATCTTCAATAGTTAAATATTCAATTTTCAGCTATTCATGGAGGTGGCGGCGAAGGAAAATTGTGGCTTTGGCCTTTTCTTGATTTGTGGCCTCGATGCCTTCTTTGATAGTTTCTACAAGTCCATTAGCATTTAGATGCATTTTGGCATCAAGCACCCATGATAAATAATTTTCCCCGGAAACAGGTATGAACTCAAGTTTTGCAATGTTATTGGCCATGGTATAAAAATAGAGTAGGCTTTTAGAACTTACCAAAAAAGAGGATTTCAGAAAATTTGCTAGAGCACTTTCGTGTTGATAACGTGTTTAAAAGAAAATTCAAAACAAGGCAAATATTCCTCTCTTCTCCATTTGCCTTGTTTTGCATTTTCTCTTAAACACGTTATTAGTACGAAAGTGCTCTAGCAAATTTTTTGAAATCCTCTTTTTGGAAAAAATGGACGTTTCAATGGTCAATAGCAAAGAAATGTGTCTAGCAGACAATGCAACTACACACTCCATCCTTAAAGAAAAGAAATATTTTTCATACATTGTAATAAAAGAAAATCATGTTAGAACTATATCTGGTAGTACAAAATTAATTGAAGGATCCGGAAAAGCAAATATAATTCTCCTCGGAGGGACGAAAATTTGCATTGATGATGCATTATATTCTTCAAAATCTCAAAGAAACTTGTTGAGTTTTATAGATATTCGCAGAAATGTATCATGTTGAAACAACTTGTGAAGATAATATTGAATACTTGTATATTACAAATATAATTTCTGAAAGAAAAATTGTCTTAGAGAAATTACCTTCATATTCTCATGGGCTATACTACACAAATATTACAACCGTTGAAACTTATACAACAGTAAACCCGAAGTTTACTAGTTATGTTGATTTTGTCATTTGGCATTACTGATTGGGACATCCCGGTTACATTATGATGCAAAAAATACTAGAGAATTCATATGGTTATTCTTTAAAGAGCCAGAAGATTCTTTAATCAAATGAATTCTCATGTACTGCTTGTTCTCAAGGTAAGTTAATTGTCCAGCCATCACCAGTGAAAATTCGCTCTGAATCTCCGACGTTTTTAGAACGCATACATGAAGATATTTGTGGGCCTATTCACCCACCTTGTGGGTCATTTTGATACTTTATGATTTTAATTGATGCATCCACGAGATGGTCACATGTGTGCTTGTTATCAACTCGTAACTTGGCATTTGCAAAATTATTAGCCGAACTAATTTGGTTAAGAGCACATTTTCCTGATAATCCTATCAAGACAATTCGTCTTGACAATGCTGGTGAATTCACGTCCCAATCATTTAATGACTATTGTATATCTATTGGGATTAAAGTTGAACATCCTGTAACTTATGTTCACACACAAAATGGTGTGGCAGAGTCTTTTATCAAATGTATTCAGTTAACTGCAAGGCCATTACTTATGAGAACAAAGTTGCCAACATCAGCTTGGGGCCATGCTGCATTGCATGCGGCTGCATTAATTCGCATAAGGCCAACAAATTACCAAGAATATTCTCCCCAACAAATGGTTTTTGGTCAGGAACCTAATATTTCCCATATTAAAATTTTTAGATGTGTGGTTTATGTTCCAATTGCTCCACTACAAAGCACAAAGATGGGACCTCAAAGGTGGTTGGGAATCTATGTTGGGTATGAGTCTCCATCTATTATAAAATATCTCGAGCATAGAACAAGAGATTTATTTATTGCTCGTTTTGCTGATTGTCATTTTGATGAGTCAGTCTTCCCAACATTAAGGAGAGAAGTTAAACAACCGGATAAGAAAATAAATTGGAATGAATCAACATTATCTCATCTTGATCCTTGCACATGCCAATGTGAACTTGAAGTTCAAAAGATAATTCATTTACAATGTTTAACAAATCAATTGCTAGATGCTTTTACTGACTTAAAACGTGTGACTAAGTCACATGTACCAGCTGCTAATGTTCCAATAAGAATTGATGTCCCTGAAGGACCTTCTATCACTAATAATGAATTAAAGGCACATCTAAAACGTGGTAGGCCAATTGGTTCCAAAGATAAAAATTCTCGTAAACAAAAAGGAACAAATAATGAAGATGGCAAAATCGAGGTAACTAAAATTCTCGAAGAATCCTCTAGAATAAAACCTCCTGAAGAGTCAAATGATATAATAGATAAATAAACTTCCAGAAGAAGTTCATGTACCTGAAAATGTTGATAATGATAAAATCTCAATTAATTATGTCATTATTGGAGAAAAATGAAACCGATCTGTAACAGAAGTTGATGATAAGTTTACGTATACTGCAGCAATTAACATTATGAATGAAAATGAGGATCATGAACCAAGGTCTGTAGATGAATGCAGACATAGAAATGATTGGCCAAAATGAAAAGATGCAATTCACGCTGAATTAGATCCACTGGCAAAACGCAAAGTTTTTGGACCAGTAATGCGCACACCGAAGATGTGCAACCCGTAGATTTTAAATGTGTATTTGTGCGAAAAAGAAATGAGAATAATGAAATTGTACGATATAAGGCACGACTTGTCGCACAAGGTTTTTTTCCAAAGACCGGGTATTGACTATAAGGAGACATATTCTCCCGTGTTGGATGCAACAACTTTTAGATATTTAACTAAACCTGACAGCTATTGAACAACTTGAAATGCGTCTTATGGATGTTGTGACAGCCTACTTATACGGCTCACTTAATAATGATATCTATATGAAGATCCCTGAAGGATTTCAATTACCTAAGGGACAAGATCCCAGTTCTCGAGAACTTTATTCAATTAAATTGTGTAAATCCTTGTATCTGTTTATAGTAAGACTTTTGGGTGTGTTCTTTCTCATTCACATTTGGTCTCTGTTTATAGGCTTATGAATCTTTACATTGCAAGGTTACATTTAACTTCCATAACTTACGTAAATAAGATATGGGTAATAAAGAAACATAGTAATAATGAGAGTTAAACTTCAAGACAACTAAATAGCAAAGACATCCACAATAAATATGTTTCATAACATTTACCTAATTAATCTTGACCCTGGAATATTAATCTTAAAACATGTAGTTAATAGTTAGGTGAGAGTACGCAAGTGATTTTTAACCTTAATTGACACACAAAATTAAAGGGTGGGGGATTAAAACGTGCAAACATATAAGAAATCAATCTCAAGGATGTTCGGCAAATCTGGTTAGAAAAATAATAAATGTAAAAAGAAAAAGAAAGAGTTACCAAAAAGCATCGGGAAAGAAACGTTGACAAAACAAAATAAACTTTAAAATCTCTAAGATTAAATGCCCCATTAATCCTATACATTTCCACCCAAAAAGAAAAAAACCTATACAAATAAATTTAATCTACTTTTGTCATTCCAATTTTACTAATTCAAAAATTTGGACAATATTTCTAACTCAGCTAGGGGTAAAATTATCTTATGAAAATATTCATCTAAAAAATGTTACAAAGTATTCATTCTACTATATCTAAAAAAAAAGTTCTTTTTTTTTTTTAAAAAAACCCATTTTCCTTTTCGTCCCGGAAGTTTACGTGCTTTCAAGTCATGTAAATCTTAAACAAATAATCAAATAAATTGGATTATCCGTGGGTGTATTGCTTTCTTATGAGTTGAATTTTGACATAACCATTCAATCAAAATCCATCAAATGGACCATATTGTTTTTCCCAAATTTGGTTAGATAGAGGGTTGTGAAAACATTCAAGTGAATAAATTAATAAGGAGGAACAAAAAATAGTATTTGGTTGCCTTTATATCATATCTAAATCATGTTCTATAACTCGCTAAAAGTAAAATACACCTTTATTTTTAATTTTTTTTTTTTATTTACAAGAATCATGAAGTGTTTTGAGTGGAAAATTGATTCAACCTCGTTTGGTATTCTTTATAACTATCGAATAATGTTCAAATGAAACTTCAAAGGTATTATCCTCAGTAAAATAGCTAATATAAACAAAGAATGCCTAAAACTCAATCACGTTTCGAAAAAGAGGGGGAAAAAAAACCTCTGTTCTACAAACCCCTTGTGTCGTACGAGGTTACATCCATTTGACCGAATTTGATCTACAATCATGAAACATACGGTCGTAACAAAACTATCCCTTTGTTTGACTGACTATCGAGGCAAACCCTGGATACGAGATATGGCCTCAAATAACAGGGTGCCCAAGATCATTAGATAGAAATCCAACGATGAAGTCATGAAGACGTATATCCAAAGTACTGTGTCACCATGTCGGTGGTGGGTAGTCCTCTATGTCCAAGAAAAATAAGAGGGGATAAAAAATGTCGATCCGGTAGATAGAAAAATGATCACAACTCTCATCTCAATGACTGAATCTTTTCATACAAACTTGAGATATAATACTTTTAGCTACAGAAAGTTCCTAAAAATAATATACTACAGCCTCTCCCATTGATACTAACTATCGTTTATGCTTGAGACTGTAGCATCTTCTTTCGCCTCATCACTGACTGCCTTGACTTCTTTAGAGGGCACTTCTCCATCTGTTTCAGGTTCCTTTTTCAGCTCTGATTCAAACTCCTTCGCTGCCTGAGGGTAAATGTATCAACACATTGCACACTTGAAACTTGAAAGTTCATCTAAAATACTCTTCTGATATGCATTTGTCAAAGAGGTAAAGATGCCGGTACAGCAAAAAAGGAATTACAATGCAATAGTGAAACAATCAAAAGGTTAGATTCTAAGATAATTTTCTTTAGAACTTGGATTTTCAGCAAGCACGATATTTAGGTTATGGTGAGATCATGTTTCCATTCACTTTAAAGACCTTACAGATGCGACATCAAACACTAGGCATGCTAATAATCAACCAGGAGTTATAAAACAGAAACTATTTTCAGTGAATGATGCCAACTTTTTTTGAAGAAAATGGTTTTCCTGGAATCACAACCTTAAACAGCACGCAATAAACCTTTTACACTCTCTTTTCAAGCCATAAACCCTTTTACACTAGAGTCGAAAGAAAACAAAAATTTTATAAGATTAGCAAACTTGCACGTCACCGGGTATTGTTATATATTTTCCACACACAACAGCTATCAACTTGCTAAGCATCAGAATCACTTCTAAAGGATCTGTCATGCCATTTTTTGGGTCTGTTTATCAGAAGGTCATGAGTGAGCTTATGCTACCATAAGGCTTGAAAAATACCTCCTTGATTCAACTTTTTCCCTGCTTCAACCCATGTGTGTGTATGGGTGGGCGAGGAGAGAGAACAGGGAGAGAGGACGAAAATACTTCATGAACCATTTTATACACCAACCAAAAAACTTTGTTCCAAAACCCAGAAGTGAAAATTTCTTGCATATGTTACAGAATACTACTTTTGATAGATATGATGTAAATCAGTCAAGAGTTGATGCAACATTTGCATGGTATATTTGTTATACAGCACCAAAAGGCAAAGGAAGAACACGGGCACTGGATTTCATATTTCATTACATCAACATGAAGTCCAAAGAATCATTACAGTGATGCAATGTTGCAGTTTATAGTTGCTATGCAGCACCAAAGGGGGAGGAACACAGGCACTAGTGTCATATTTCATTACATCAGCATTAAGTCAAACAATCATTACAATCAAACACGTATGCAACATTTTGATTACCCTACCTGTATGGTAGTCAAGACTAAACAACTAGGAGGAAGTTAGTAAAAAACCTCATACTTTCATAACAACATAAGGATGAACTTAATGCCAGAAATACAACTGAAAGTATAGTTAGACTTGTCGTATTAAAGCCCATCAGTAAAAAGGACATCATGATGTTTCCGGTACAAAATGGCCTCTCAAATTCCAAATTATACGAAATGTTGCACTACTTCAATCTTCTACAGGATTAATATTATCAAGCAATGTTCTCTTGAAACCTCTTCCAACACCCGTCTTACATCTATTAAAACTGACCGAAGCCCCAGGACAACTGAACTTTATTGGAGATAAGGAAAGAAAGACATAGCATAGAGGAATGGAAAAGAATTTGAGCAATAAAAAAAGAAATCTAATGTAGAGGGAGATCCAATGCATACCAGAAAAACATGCAAAATTTGTAAAACAGGAAAGGTCAATGCTATTTAAATTTCAAAGAAAACTGAAATCGAAAACCTGCAAAACTCAAATAATTTACCATTTGATCATCAAAAGACATTCATAGTCATTTTTATGCATCTCAAGGAAGGAGGAAATTACAAACAATTCCATAATTCCCATCTTAGGAAGGAAATTCTTCTAAGTAGCCACATCAGAAACTTTCATTCCATAGTTTCAGCTGAAAACAAAGAAAAAGTTATGAAAAACAAAGAACTTCCTATCTCCACCAATTATCCTTTAACTTCTAAGCTCCAAAATCAAATAATTTCAACTTGACGAAAATCCCAATGCATATGAAGAGACATCCAACCAATCCAAAACAAGAACAGTAACAATGGCGATAATAAAAGCAGAACAAGCTCAAACACCCATGACTGAAACATTGGAACAATAAATGCTAGAAAAGAGAGTCTCCAGAAACACAAAAAACACCTGTTGAAAGCTTTTGACAGTCTTGCCAATACTCTTCCCAACTTCCGGCAACTTCTTGGGCCCGAAAACTAGGGCGGCAACGCCGGCAATGACGACCAGCTCCGGAACACCAAGCCCAAATAAACAGGTACAAGAAAGCCCCCTTCTTTTATTGGTGTAAAGGACGGGTGTGTGGGAGCTTTGAAGAGAACCCACAAAAGGCCGAGACTTGTGATTGCAGAAAAAAAGGGAATTGGAAGAAGAGAAGGAAGACGAATTGGAAAGGGATTTTGTTGTGGACAGTGGAAGAGAAGAAGAGATTGAGATGGAGGTCGCCATTTTTTTTTTGGTGTGCTCTAATTTTCAGTGTGCTTGTTGATTGACGGATATGAGATAAAATGAAGATTTTTTTTTCCTTTTCGTTTTTTGGACAGTAGCTGCTTGTTAATCTTTTGCTATTTCTTCATTTTGTTTTTTCTTTTGCCGTATTTCTTTCATTTATATCAATATAGCTTTTATTTATATTTTCTTTCAAAAAAAAAAGGTTTTATTTATTTATTTTGTTTGTCTCAATTTCTAAGCAATTTGTAGCTATTGGTTCTTATTAGTGCCCTTGAGATCTTTTTCCTTGTGTTTGTTCTCTTTACATGTATTTGCCTACGTGATTTGAAACTAATAAACATTGGGAGTTTAGGAAACTTGGGAAGGGTTATAACTTAGCGGTGAAAAAGTTGCAAAAAAAAAAAAAAGGATGAAAAGAACAAAGAGAGAATGACCCTGAACTCATCAGTCATTAGCAAGCCTTTTAGAATCACAAGATTTAACAAAACACAAAGTCTACAAGTCCTTTTTCCCTTTTTGGAAAACACGCCTTCGAGTGCAAAGATGGATACGTTCTAAAGTAGAGTACAGATGGATGTTTAGAAGCTCGACTTAACTAATCCTCCTCTAGGTTGATGGAATCTTTGAATTTCCCGTACAAAATCTTCTTCAGCTCTGTCATTTGAGCAACTACGGATTCCTTCTCTTCTTCAAGCTTCTCCAAATTCTTGCTGGTTACCTCTTTCATATCTTCAATTCGACTTTCAACCTCATCTTTCGGGACATGAACAAAAACTTCGCCAATTTGGAAGCGCACTACCTCCTCATCAGTAAGAATTAACTCGTTGCCTGCATCTTCAAGATTTTCATTTGTTTCCTGCAAAGAATAGCAAAGACAACCCAATTGACTGGTTATAAGAAACAAGCAATGCCAATGCCGAAGAACTTGAATCAATTAGAGAGGCTATGCAAGGAGAATAGGATTGGCTTGTTCCCCATTATCTTATAACCTTTAAAGGAGGCAATGCGGCATACCCATAGCAGCTAAGAGAATAGCAGCATTTACACATACATGTAACATCAAGAGGAAAAAAACGGACAGAAAAAATAACATGGAAGAAAAGAAATCTTCTCAGTCCGAAAGAGAGAAAAACTGGAAAGAATTATAGATTGTTCCACGCTCTCTCGCTCTTCGACTTCAGCTAATCAAAACTAAATTGCAACACTACAACAAACTTAATAGAGCATGATATAAAGCAAATAACTCGATGTCCCAGCATCAAAATAACTGAAAAATACTCCTGAAGACCAGCTAAGGTTTAGCACCCAAATTGTATGCCCGTCATTTTTTACTTGTAGACCCAAGGGAAAAGGACAGCAAGGATACTTTAACAATGATGCTTGTAGACAGTAACACAAGACTCATCACTGCTTTATAACAAGTTCTATGGCTATAGATATATAGGTAGTCATCAAGGTCCATACATTTCCCTTCACGAATATTGTTAGAACTAAGGCAGTTGATTCAAAGAGCTACAAAGCAGCTGGAGCGAAGCCAATTTAACATAATCTAGAATCTAGGCTACCTGGTTGGATTCCAGACTGATAAAGACAGTTATCTTGAGGACATAGGAACACCAAAAGGGAGTAGGACCTTGGCCGGAAGTATATAGCTGATATTGTTTACAAATCTATAGTGGTTCTATTTACTAGCAAGAAACTGGGAATTGATTAGAAAAATTTAGGTTTTAATAGTTAAGAGCAGGGGAGGGTTTGCAGGGAGTTAAAAATATACGCTTGTTCCTTAATGATAAATTAAAACCTTAGAAGTTCTTTCAATCCTCATTCAGTAGCCGCATTCCAGAAGGGATGAAACAAAGATTGGGCTTTTTTTTAGTCTTCTCTTCTTCGAGTCAAAGTCAAAGTTTCAGTTCTTCCTCAGATCTTTACATCAATCTAAACATTCATACCGAGCTTCTGGCATTTCTTGATTTTATTTCGAGTTTTAGGTGATTATAGGAAACAGAAGAGTCCAGGAGAATGAGAGCAGGGCAGGACAAAAACTAATCTTCACATAAATATAAGCACTCTGCTTTTGTTTAACCATGTCTCAATTGATGTCATACACGTGCCAGGATCTAGACACGCTAGCCAATGGCCTGTGTGACCCATGATCAATCTAACCTGGTGTAACTAATTGAAAATGGACGCATGTGGGTTAAACCATGGGCCAGTGACAGAATGGAATCAGATTGCCGGCCCCAGATTAGGGTTTCTATAACCTCATTTTGGTTAAAATTCATCTTCAGTCTCAAAATCCATGTGCCATGCGTTGAAAAAGGCTGAAATAAAACCTCTTGACCCAGACTGGTCGTAAGAAATTATACTTAAACCTTTGACAAATTATTAATTAGAACTTGCTACCAATTGCCTATCACTTTCCTTTTCAGGGACAGCGAAATAAATAAATCAAAGAATAACACAAATGAACCAAATAAGGAAGTTAAAAGTAAAAGGGCAAAAAGAAAATAAAGGCGAGGAAAAAAAATGTTCGATTTTTCAATCCAAAAGTTAATTCTCCTATGACTTCACAAGAAAATGTAAAAAAATTCTACCTAATTGAAATCACCACACCATGGGGCATCAGCATGGTGTCAGAAAGGAATATTTCAAAAAGAATGGAACAGGACAAGCAAGTACACTATTCTGCCTCTTTGTAAAGCTAATAAATCAATAGTAAATAAATACTTCCTCCATGAACTTAACTAAGGAGGGGAAAAAAAAAGAAAACAAAATTATGGACACAGAAGAACACAAATTCAACTGATATCAACCATATGAAACTCAACGCCTTTTCTTCAATGTGAGATGTTAATTTCATAAGCTTGGCAAAACTATAAGTCAGCTAAGAAAACCCTGAAAGCCCATCAGGTTCTCGGATCAAAAGTTTTCTTACTATTCAAATGGCATAAAAGCTGAACATCTACAACAATCTATATATATGCACACATGCATGAGACACAGATTAAAATATTCATGTGAAACAAAACATAGTTAAGAGGTTGAGGGACATCAGAAGCTTAATCAAAGCTGATTCCTTAACACTAAATTTCAAAGTATCCATTATCATCACATAGTCAGTATATTCCCAACCAAGTTGGGGTATGGCTGGTCAGATGTATGCAGCCTTACCCTTGTAATTATACAAAGAGGCTGTTTCCGTTGCGACAAATTTCAAAGTATGCAAATATAAAAATTCTATTCTCCAGGCAACCAATTCATTTTCCTATGACAAACCAAAACAGCAAAAGTAACAAGCCCCAAGGTAAGGTTTCTCTGATCCACATGGATGTTGCTTTCTCATCTTTTGATATTTTGCCCCTATAACCTCAATTAAAACTTCTTCCCTTTACATTTCACTTGATGCCTATGTGGAAAAGTTCAATTCTATCTTTCACTTATGAACTTAATGAATATAATACTTCATTACTGCTCTCTAATTTATTTTATTTGACATTTCTATGGGTAACCTTTGAAAATAAAGACAACACAAATATTTCCCAGGTACTCGCCTGGTTTAAAAAAAAATAAAATAAAATAAAGACAACACAATTCGAAAAAAGGCACTATGCAAACTTACACCCATATCTTAACAGCATCAAACCAGAGCACGATTCAACAAAATGAGCTAGTGAATAACTCCAGAAGTTTGTTAGACCTACCCTAGTTGTTCAATCGTCATAACATGCCACCGGGAAGGAAAAAGAATTCCATCATCCCAAGAAACATAGAAGTACAGCAAAATCATATTTTCTCAAGTCATGTTCTTCAATACCTATAAATAGAAAAATACCATTTTCTCTCTAGCAGAGAGTTTGTCTATCAATTCAACTCAGAATACCGGTCCAACAAATTTCAGCTAAGCAAAGGGTGGTAAGAAGGAATACAAACATCAAAATTGACAATCCCATCAAATCAGAACGGATACACAATTTCTAAACTCTGAAGGGCACACCACATCTAAATCAACCCATTTTGTAAAAATCACCAAACGAGACAAGGAAGAGAAAACCCTTACTTTAGCCGTCTTGATCTCGTCTTCAAGCTCATGCAATCGGTTATTTAACCGACCGAATTTGTTGATATTCTGTTGATCCTCCCAGGTGACCTCCGCTTCGGACCCAGATGACCCAGCCTCCATTATTACAGAAAAGATAATTCCCAGTAAAAATAAAATCAAATTTCGAAACAACAATCAAAACAGCAGCGATTCAGACAATAGTTAAAACCGACAAAAGCATTCAACTTCGAGCTAACCTGCTGCATTGTAGGACAATAGTGTGAAAAAACGGAAGCGCCCCTGTTCCTATTTCAATGCTGTTCGTTCACTGAGCAAACTGAAAACTGATGCGGAGGAACAGGGTAGAAGGAGGGGGGTTTTCGTTTTATCACAAATTCCAGAGCCAATCCTTCAATAATAGCTCTTATCTAGTTTTCGGTTTCAATATTTTGCTAATTTTTATACTCCCCAAAATGTTTCTGATTGTATCAATTATGCCCTTCAAACTAGATATAGACTATAGACCAGGATTTTTAATCCACACATAGTTCAATGAAAGAGTTTAAGCTAATTATGTCATGTGTAATTACCAAAACTCTCTTTTCATGAAAATGCAATAAAAAAATATAATTTAATTAAATTGAAATATTAATTATGTCACGTGTAATTACCAAAATTCTTTTTCATGAAAATGTAATAAAAATATAATTTAATTAAATTGATACATTAGTTTACTTTCATCTAAAACTTTAACAATCATCAATCGTCATTAATTCATGAATTTTTTATAATTAATGTGATAAGAACTTGATTCTTTAATGTATTTTATTGTAATATATCATATCATTAATTGTCTACATAAGCAACTTCTCATTTGTAAATTTTATCAAGTAATAATTTATATAATTTTTACTCCGTTAAGCAACCTGATCAGCAAGGTTATAATAATTTTTTAGATTTTTTGAAAGAGAAATTAGTTTGGGATATTTTAGAATATAATTCACCCCATGATCACATGTTATATCCTCAATATTGATTGGTTGAAGAAAAAACAAGACGATTCTGTAAAAATGGTCAACGAGACTTTAGATTTTTCGATAATAAAATATGTTATTTGGTCCTTTGGTATTAATGCGGTGTCCCTTGCTATTTTTGAAATGGAGATTGTTAAAACATTTGCAATGATTTAGAGCAATTCCGACGGATATTTAATTATTTATGACCATCTTTAGAAGATGTCGAGACTAGAGAGATAATTATGCTGATATTAAAATGTCTCATTTATCAAATTTGAAGCTTCACATATGGGATCAAATTTGAGATAAAAGATGAACAAGGGTGCTGCACATGGTTAGAACTTTGCTGTTTACATAACCGAATGACTTTGACTAACTCTAGAAAGTTGAACGTGAAATTTTCACTATTCATCGACATAATTTTGCCTCCTCAAACGTTTTTAACTTATATTTTGGTTCATGGTCGCATCATTCACTTCTTGTTAGGATTTACTTTGATGTTTTGACTATTGATATTGACCTCAATGCAATTGCTTGAGATCTTGCACCAGTCTTGATCTCTCAGCGCATGACATGCTACATTTTATCACCATTCCAGTTTGCAGAATAATTGTATCAGGAGATTCAAAAAACAATAAATAGTATACAGAAAATGCTTCACGCCAATACTAAAAGAGGGGGGTGTTGAATACATGTCCTTGAAAGTTTGGCTTTAAAATTCTGGATTTGCAGACAGACCGTAGTGATTATCATGACAGCACTATGACAACTTTTGTAAACAGCTTCTGTAAATGGAGCTGGACGTCCAGAAGCTACATTCCTTGGAACCAAAGGATAAATAAAGAAACACAGATGTGCATATGATACTTTAAGTGAAAATCAGCAAGTGTCATACTTCGCCACAATCGCAACGCTAGGAAAATCATGTGCTTGATCAGCAAGAAGCACAATTTCAACTAGGTACGAAGTGAGCTACTGCTTTTGCAACTTTTGCAAATACGGCTTCCAAACCAAATCACCAGTCACCCACTCAGTGATCAAACCAAAACCAACTATTCCATAGATACACAATCAGATCTGAGATGCAGGTTTCAAGTGGGATAGCTAGGGTGGGAATATTTAGATAAGAAAATGGCTTGACTGAAATTATACATTGAAAAAAGTCCTCATGTTAAAATAGCAAATTAGGCATGGATTGTGGCAAGAGTTAATAAGCAAGAACTTAAAGCCAAACCATATGAATGCATTATGCATGTAAAGCGCCACACAAAAAGCAAAAGATTCAAGAGTCCATTGAAACCTTTGGTATTTCATGTGTATCAAGGTATTAAGAAACAGATTCATGAACAGTTTTCACAACTCGCACATCTTCCAATTTTGTTATCACAACCCCATTTACCAAACCTTATCATCGTCTTTCCTTCAGTTCCCCCTCCACCATGGTCCCTAAAGTCAAGAAGAAATACTTGACACCAAATAATAAGCTACCTGGTGCCTAATCATTCAACATAACCAGAATTGGCTTCAAAGTACCATAAAGGAGGCTAAACTGGATATCAAGACGTTCAAGCTTAAACAAGTCAATTAGATAAACTCGCACATCATATTTGACAATATAAAATCAACGCTATAAACCCAATTCCTTTCTGTCATTCCCAGGCTATGAGTACCAGAAGCAGAGTTAAATCATAATGAATGCCAATTAAGGAAAATAATGCAGTCTCCTATTTTCTAAAGGGGAAAAGCAGCGACTACAATCAAACTTACAACAAACATGAAGTCGGAACCAATCCATTGGAATAACAGCTCTGTATACAAAATATCATCTTCATTTCAGAACGATCCCAAATCATTTCTATCCGATCTACTAACTCAAGTCTTCACAATTGCCTTTCCTAGCTCCGAAGACTGGCAAAATTACACCAAGATGAACATATAACTGACCATGTGCATTTAGAGTTCATTCACTGCAAGATGGCAACTTTGTCTAACAACCCATGGAAAGAAGGCACAAATCATGGAGACAACAATCCCTCCAAAGCTAATTGAGCATCTAATAGACACACAAACACTAGCAAAACCTCAATATTATGCTTCCAAAACCAAATGAGAAACTCAATTGCCTCAAAAGGAAAGGGATCTTTAAAACGCTCTTTAGACAAAACAAATATCTTTCATTGATTGTTTTTTCTCCCAATCCAGGATTGCCGAAACCACGGAAGAAGTGCGGCAAGTTGAGCCTAGCCCTCCAATAATACAAGAAAAGAATATGGCCAATACAACAAATTAGCAACAACATTTTCAACAATTCGTAGAGCTATTACTAATATCTTCCTCTAAATGTCCCCGGTTCCCCTCCAACAACAGAAACCAAACCCCCTTCCGCTGCATCAACTTCATCCAGAAACAGATCCTCAACCCCTCTAAAAGCTCCATGCAAGCCAGCAACTACGACTGCGATTATCAACGCCACCAAAACATTCATCCCAACATCCGTAAGAACTAGTGCAACCACAGTAATCACACTCAAACTAATCATCACAAGTCGATCATCAACCACTCTCCCAAACACAACAACCGGATCATCCCGAAAGAAACACAAGTACATCCAAGCAACGAAGATAACTAAGAACGTAATCATCGAGAACGGATGATAAATTAGGCTGCAGAAGAGTATAAAAAGCATTACCAAGGCGTAATTCATCCGGAAATAGTTGAGATTCCGCCGCAACCGGGACATGGCTTCGTCGTAGCCGTACGGAACAGAGAAGGAAGAAGGGTCTACAAGTTCTCGCCATGGACGGAAAGTGGCGATCTGGGCTCTGGCACGGGAGAAAAGGTTCTGCGACGGAGGAGCCGGAGGAAGCCGGGGTGGTGGTGGAAGCGGCGGTTTACCGGCGGTGGACGGCGGCTGAGATGTGTTAGGGAGGGAGTAGGAATTGTAATTGGAGGCAGAGTTTAAGGGCATGATGAGAAGTTAATTGATTATGAGAATGTGAAAGATTTTGGAAAAAGAATGGAAAACTGGCTGAAGAGCAATCAGATCAGTTGTGGAAGAAGAAGTATTACTAACATTTAACTCTGTACTGTAATGGAGGAGTTGGAATTTGAAAGAGGGAAGAAGAAGACGAAGAGCACGTGCTGTCCCATTAGCTGTGGTGTGTAAAGAAACGACAATCTGGAGGGTATTATGGAATCTGCGAATTTCATTTCTTTCTTCACCCCGTTTTTTTTTCTTTTTTTTCAAAAAATAAAATCTGAATAAAAATGTTAGATTTGTTGTAGATAATTGAATGACCAAAAGGTCAAAACCGGGTATATCAATTGTAAAAGTAGAGAAATTGAGCTTTGTTGCCTTTCAAATCTTCCTATACATAGAATGCTCGGGCACGTCTTCCTCTTCCCTATCTCTTCATATATTTTTTTTACTTTTTTTCTCTATAATTCTTGCAAGTTATATCATACTCTTTTCATCCTACAAAAATAATTTAATTTCAAAATATACAATTTTTTCAATTTGGTCGACCCAATCAAAATATAAAACACTTCTCATCTAATAAATTTCCTATTTTACCCATATTATATCCAACAGTGGCTGGCCCAAATTTAAATCCTAAACATATTCTATTATTTTCTCACCGGAAAAAAAAGATACGGCCGCCTGTTACTGCGCCAATTCAGCCACTAATGTCAATCAAGTCTGAACGTGATACGGACGAAAGCAGCCCTACTTCAGGGTTCCGAGAAAACGTCTATGGTACGACAATAACGCCATCACAGTCCATATAATAATTACCTCCGTCAAGTCACCCCCATCATAACCACCATGATACCAGTGACGTACTTTCCTAGGGCAATATGTCTTTTGAGATTCAACAACAGCAATTCGAAATCGATTCTGCATCACCGAACGATACAGCCAATTACATTTGTATATTATCAAGAAATTACTAATTCTTTATTTCTTTTCTTTTTGATTTGTTTGTCTGATGATTAATGTTAAATTTTCATTTAATCAGACTGTTAAGGTGAAAATGGAGATGGAAGAATGGAGGAAGAGCTATTCGGGAAGGATTTTGATGACGACGAGAAAACCATCGGGAAAAAGTTCCAAATTGACGGCGACGAGAATCGGCGAATGAATTGGATGAATTGGGCCCTCATACTGTGTAATAATGGTTAATTGTAAAGGATGCTATAGTCATTTCAATTGCTTTTCATTTTGACTTTTTGAACTGGACTATTTTTTTTGGACAATATTATTTATTAAACTGTACTATTTTTGTGCTACGGATGGAGTAATATTTAAACTATTAGAGAGTTATAGTATTAGAGTCTCTAGTGGAGAAGTTAAATAAATTATTGTTAAAATAAATAATTAATTATCTTTGCTTGGATAATTATATTTAGACCTTAGTTTTAAGACACGTCATCAACACGACGTCCTTACAATCTACAAATGTATAAAATTTTCTTATTCAGTCTTTAAATTTCAATGGTCCTATAAGATCTTCAAATTTATATTTAAGTTATTTAATTTCTTGTAATTTATTCAAAGACTTATCCTTACTCAAGCATTAAGTTTTATTTTCATAGTGGAAAGCTTTATTCTATATATTTTACATTATTGTGGGATGTCATATATATCACATATGCATTTACTGTTTAGAATTTTTATTTAAATTGTCAGCGTGGATTTTTTTCTATGTCCCTCAATACTCTATTTAGTACATAGTGGGATGATTGATAAAACATAGTAACAATTATTTCCAACAACTTGTTTATTTTCAATTTGATTGTGTATGCCATAAATTTACTTATCCTCATTCAATTATTGATGTAGTTATCTTATTTTGAATAATTTGTTTAATTAAATTTTTAGCACTTATATATGTATAAATACACGTACATTTTATGTACAAAAATACATATACAACGGCTATTTTTAAGGGAAATATTAATGGTTATATAATGTCCAAAATCTTAAATTTTCTCTATAAATATATCATTTCTAAATCTCATTTATGCAGCTTCACAATATTATCTTTCTTTCTCTTCTTAGTTTTTCAAGAAAACACGTCTTTTCTTTCTTTCTTTAGTTTATTAATAGTTAGTGTGTGTGTCTATATATATATATATATATATATTCCTGTATTTAATTTAGAAGACAATGCTTTTATTTTTCATTTAGGCATACTTGTAATGTGTATTTTACCTATGTACATCATTGCTATGTTTATTGAATAAATTGATTTCATTAGCTATTTTATAGCAAGATTTAATGAACATAATTATGATTATAGTTTTTTTGTCAAAGTTATCAGACATGTCTTTAAAGAATTTGTCAAAACTTGAGTTTGAAGCCTTTAACCACACAGAAAAAATTACATGTTGTGGAAAATTTATGTAGAAACTCATCTTGAATCAAAAGGGCTTACTAAAACGATACAACATGAAAACACTCAATCTCTCAAAGATAAATCAGCTGCACTGATATTTATTCGTAAACATATGGGTGATGGTGTTAAAAGTGCCTTTGTGAATTTTACTGATCCTTTAATTGTGTGAAAAATTTTAATACAAGGTTTGATAATAAATAGGACATGATTTTATCCACTAATAATGAAGAATGGAAATCATTAATATTTCAGGATTCTAAAATGGTGGAAGAAAATAATGCAACGTTGTTTATGACCATTTTACAATTCAAATATTGTGGACGCCAAGTTCCCTGAAGATGAAATGATAACCAAAAGTACATTTCATGTGTCTCATACTACTGTGGCAACTAGGCATAGATTGCTAAAATTTAAGTCTTATTATGATCTTTCATATCAAGAAGAAAAGACCCAAGAGCTCCTCATGAAAAATCTATCAGTCTAGATCTACGAATTTAATGGTATTTCCTGAAGCAATGACTATGAATACTAATGCATTTCAATCTTATAATAATAGTGGGCGAGGTCGTGGTGAGGCCGTGATCGTGGTGAGGCCGTAGTCGTGGCCGTGACCAAGAAAGAAATCAAAATTTTGGAAGGGAAATGATAATCAAAATCATCAATCTAATAAACCAAAAATGGCTAAACAAAATGTTCATGAAAAGCCACAGAAAATGGCTAGTTCATGCTTCAGTTGTGGTAGCACAGATCATTGGCCGGCACCACATCTAGTTGAGCTACGCCAAGCATCAAAAGGAAAGGGAAAGAAAGAATGTTGATTATCTTAATGAGCATTATAATGAATATGAAGATGGTGAAACACATATGAACGCTTCTGACGTCACTGATGATGCTAATATGATAGGATTAATACTCACACTAGACAATCACCAATGGACATTTTACAATTATTTTAATGCAACCATGTGTTTTCTCAAAAGATAAAAAAGAAATTACTTGCACTCAACAGATGGAAAGACTCAAAACCAAGACAAACCAAGGAAGTTAAAGCATACAAATTCTCCTGCATTTTATTCAAGGAAGAAAGCCTTTCATCTTTAAACTCTCGACGGACTCCTTAATGATTTGCTCCATGGGGATGAAGTTAAGGCCTAAGTCAATCAACTTTTTTGAAGCATCTTTGGCCCTCAATAATCCAGGTAGAGTATCCTTCGCAAACCTGCACCAAAAAAAAAAAAAAAAAAAGAAAAGCAAAAAAAAAACCAGAAGAAAAACCCACTTTTAAATTCTAACCCTCAAAAATCAATATGTTCAACAAAGTTGTAAAATAATACTGGTATGAGAAAATGTCATAACTGGAATATCCTAAGACAAAGATGACTTTCTAATAACTCCGTTTGAAGTTAATTAGAACATCCATTCTGTCCTTTATTAGCAGAGTTTTGTGGGAACACAATGTTGTTTTATTGTTCATTCAAACTCCATATGGATAGATTCATGAAAACACCATAAAAATTGCAACATAAGGTAAAATACTACTCCATGTCTAATTTAAATTTTTATTTTTAATTTAAATAGTGCTAATGACGAGTCATAAATTAACCCTAAGTCTATTGGGCCTAAGATTAGGTTAATTGGGGATTAAGCCACCGCCTAAACCTATTCCATTAGGGTTTCAGGAAACAGGTAACACCACCTCTATAGAAAGAGGTGGTGCCTCTCACATAATACATATCTTCTAATTATCTTCTACACTTTCTATACACGATACACATCCTTCTTTCTCTACTCTCTTTATTCTCTTATTGACTTAAGCATCGGAGAGTCTACCCTCTGGAGACACCCGAGGCTCTGTCTTGCAGGTTTTAGGCCGTTTGCTGCCGCCTAGGTCATCATCACCGCCCGTTGTAACCACCGTACAAATCCAAACTTCGTCACTAAATATGTGAAATGTCAAATTGGACAATAATTTAGGGCAGAAGTATTAAAATACTTGCCTGGGAACATCATATTCAGGGCAAAGTTCAGCAACCGTGGCAGCAAAGTCACCGAACTGGGATATGCCTTCAAAACATAAATGCCTTCCACTTGCTGATGAGTTCTCATAGACCAATATATGTGCAACTGCAACATCTTTGATATGGACTAATCCAATGAAGATATCGTCATAAGTCTCAGTGCATCCTGAAATTCCAGAGAAAACTCATTCATCTCTCTGAGTTTACAAAACCCCATCTAGTGACTAAGTACAGTGAAAATATATAGTGACAAATGAAAAGACAAATACACCATCCACTAACTAAACATGTTTATTTATTAATTAAGGGTAAAAATATAATTTTAGGGAAAAAATGAAATTTCAACGAGAAAATAACAAAAAACTAAAAGCTATAATTAATTCACATCAGTCACTATATTTTGTCATTATTTTTATTCACTATATATATCATTTTCCATCGTGGATAACTGTTTTACAGGTTGTTTTAATCATTATTACCCTGAAGAAGGCGTAGAATTATTGCCATGCTTGCATTAATAGATGGAGGGAGGATGGGACCCATCACAAACCCAGGATTCACCACAACAATGTCCAAACCTTTTTCCTTAGCAAACTCCCAAGCAGCTTTCTCAGCAAGTGTTTTAGAGACTGAATACCATGCCTAGTAGAGAAATTAAACAAATTTACACACACTTCAGATAATCTAAGACTGACTACAAAAAGAACCACACCAAATTGTACTACTCTTTGCGTTTAAAATAACTGTCCAGTTTGAATTTTTATTTTCAATATAATTTATTCTAAAAGTAAAAAACCTAAATAACCATTTCAAAACTTGAAGAGTATAAAAGCTGCCTGTACTAAAAATAATTTAAGAGTAACTACAAAAAACACCACCAAATTATATTCCCTCCGTCCCAAAATTATTTTTCAGATTGGATGTTTAACTTTAGTTCAAATTATACTAAAAATAAAAATTCAAACCAGACAATCATTTTGAGACAGGGAGTACTACTCACTGTGTCCAAAATAATTATCCAGTTTGAATTTTTATTTTTAGTACAATTTGTACTAAAAGTGAAAATCTTAAACTATATTTTACGACTTAAAGAGTATAGAAGCTACATGTACTGAAAATGAAAATCCAAACTGAACAATTATTTCAGGCGGCCAATTAGAGAGGAAAAAAATGATTAACGTTTTATTACCCCTTTTCCTCTGCAGTAACCTTCATCAGTCCAACATTCCTCATTCATAACTTTGTCCGACGGCCAACTGGGGTTCGGGTAGATTGCAGCAGTAGAAGAAGTGACAACAACACGGAGTACGCCGAGCTCTTTGGCGGCCGACAGCACATTGATGGTGCCCTTTATGGCCGGCTCCACCACCTCAGCCTGCGGGTCACCGACTTCATCGATAATGCAGGGAGAAGCAAGATGGAAAACGCCGGTGGTTCCGGTGACGGCGGCCAGTATGGATTCGTAGTTGAGAAGATCGATTTGGAATAGACGGAGTCGGGATTCCGCCCCTTCTAATTCTACAAGATGTTTCGTCTCTTTCTCATCCTCTACAGAAACCCAAAAAAAAAAAAAAGTTTATTCAACCAATTCGAATTGGACTGATCGATGAAGAAAGAAATTGAAAAATAAAAAATGGCGAACTGAGATCTTTGACGGTGGCATGGACGGAATAGCCGCGTTGGAGAAGAAGACTGATGAGAAATGAGCCAATGTAGCCGCTGCCACCAGTTACACACACCACTTCTCCTTCTTTTTTCTCCATATTTTCAGTGGTTTTTGCCTTGGTTTGTAATCTAAATACTCGTAGGGTTTTTTTACCTGTTATTATTCGATTCTCTTCATTGAATGGTTTTGCAATCTTAAAAGTTGATGGTTCTGAAGAAAATTATGGGTTTTTCTTTTTGGGAATTGTATCAAGCAGTTAACCCACATGTTGGTTGTTTGTCAACACAGTATATAACAAAGTTGGACATAAAACGTGGAGTTCCTCCATAACACCCCTCCTTGGGACTATACATATTATCACGTGAAGTTTCCCTTCAATTTGCGTACAATTCTGAATAGTTGGAATTCGAAGGAAAAACAGAAAAAACAAAAAAAAAAAGTGGCTGACGGTTTGGAAATGGCAAGGGCCAGAAGGAAAATAAAACTTTTTTTTGTGCCTATTAATGAATGACGAGGAAAGCTCTATTGATGGAAGAACAAAACTGTTACATTTGTGAACCGTGATGAATTTGGGACGGAGCTAACTTGGTGTATTTTGAGACTGCAGCTTGAGAATCTGAGTGACATTAAAAAAAAAATAAAAGTATGCAGTCAAAATTTAGCGAAAATTTTTAACAAAAAATGAATCATAAACATCCGTACTCAAAACTTATCTTTAGCGATTGGCCAATAACATATCCATTGTTTTCTTTTTGCCTTAAATCATCCAAGGCTAATTTACTTAAATCTCTTTTGCCCTTAATGATTGGCACATTTCTTTTTACGTGTCTTTTTTCCTTCGAATTTCCACAATTTCCAAACATTTTATAACCATTTTCACTGAATTTCCTCTAAATGGTTCTAAAAGAAAGACAAACACTGTTGACACATTTTTGATGAATATATAGATACATGACATTTGACCTTGAACCAAAAACTAGCCAGTATTCTGTGTAAATTAATTCTAATTTTATGATATCTCAATCTAGACAAATCTATTATATTATATATATATTAAAGCAGAGCTGTACCACGTGTCGTTACAAAAGTTCTCCTTCATTAAACAGTTAAAATTTTATTACTAATACGTAAAATTATTAAATTGAATTAAGTAGTTAACCAATAGTTAATTTTAGAAAAATAAATACGTTTTTGATAATTATTGACAAATATATGACATAAGAAAATATTAATCATCAAATTAATAATTGTATTAAGAATACAGTTTGAAACTAAGTCTGGATACATTAAACGTAAGTTAATATTAGTTTTTAAATGGTTCTGTTTAATATATTTTCCAAAAATTAAAAGATATTAATTACAAAAAAAAAGATTGTTACCAAATAACTATATTACGAATACAATTCGAAACCAAGTCTACCTACATTACAAGTATGTTAATATTATTTATTAGATGATTGGTATATTTTTCATACATAAAAAGAGACTACTTACCAAAACGAAGAGATTACTTACTAATTAATTCTACGAGTACAATTCAAAATTAAGTCTGGATACATTAAACATAAGTTAATAATATTTTTCTGATGATTATATTTGATATATTTTCCAAAAATAAAAATAGATTAGTTACCAATAACAAAAAATATATATTTGTTACTAAATAATTATATTGTGAATACAATACGAAACTAAGTTTGGATAAATTAAACGTAGGTTCATATTATTTATCAGATTATTCAATTTGATATATTTTTCAAAAATAAAAAGAGATTAGTTACTAAATAATTATACTACAAATACAATTTGAAACCAAGTCTGTATATATCCAAGATAGGTTAATATTATTTTACAGATAATTCCATTTAATATAATTTTCAAAAAATAAAAAAAGATTAATTTCAAAAAGTAAAAAGAGATTAGTTACAAATAATTATATTATGAATTCAATTTGAAAATTAAGTCTGGATTCATTAAATGTAGATTAATATTATTTCTCAAAACATTTTATTTGATGTTTCCAAAAATAAAAAGAGATTAATTACAAAAATAAAGAGATTAATTACCGAATTATTATATTACGAATACATTTCAAAACTAAGTCTAGATACATTAAATGTATATTAGTATTATTTTAAATGATTCTATTTGATATATTTTTCAAAAAAAAATAGTAATCAAAAAATAAAGATTAGTTGCAAAATCATTATATTACGAATATAATTTGAAATCAAGTTTAGATACATCATACATATGCTAATATAATTTTTTAAATAATTTCATTTGATATATTTTTCAAAAATAAAAAGAGTTTAATGACAAAACTAAAAAGAGATTAGTTAGCAAATGATTATACTACGTACATATACAATTGGGACCAAATGTATATCCATTAAACTTGGATTAACATTATTTTTCATGATTCCATTTGAGATATTTTTCAAAAGTAAAAAGAGGTTAGTTATAAAATATTATATTATGAATACAATTCAAAACCAAATCTAGATACATTAAACGTAGGTTAATATTATTTCTTAGATGATTTCATATGATATATTTTTCAAAAAATTAAATAAAAAAGATTAGTTATCAAATTATTATGTTACGAATACAACTCGAAACTAAGTCCAGACAGATTAAATATTGGTTAGTATTATTTTTTTAAGATGATTCCATTTAATGTATGTTTCAAAAACAAAAAGAGTTGGGTTACCAAAAATAAAAAGAGTTAAGTATCAAATAATTTTTCTTGCAATACAATTTACAACCAGATTTGAATACGTTAAATGTAGGTAATATTATTTTCCACATAATTCTATTTGATATATTTTTCAAAAATAAAAAGATTAGTCACTAAAAAAAGTAAAGATGTTACTTTCTGATTCTCTCCTCTTCTTCCCTTCCCCTTCATCCTCTATCTCTTCTCCTTCCCTCTTCACCTTCGATCTGAATCTCTTTTTTTTGTCTGAAAGATATACACTGACATTTCTCTTTGTTGAGTTTTAATTCTAGATGGATATTTTTCATTTGTTGGTTGAAAAGGGAGTATGATGGGTTTCAGTTGACAAGGTAAGTTGTACTTTAATATTATTAACTCAGTGTTTAGAGTTATTGTTAGAAGTTCACTTGATTTTTTAATTTTGCTTGTGTTGAAGAAGTTCGTTAGCTTATTCCAGTGTGGATATTTGTGAACGACCTTCCATTTGATTTATGATTAATAATGGAAAATGCGGTCATTATTCCATCTGATTTGTTTTGAACTGTTAACTAATCATTTTATCTTGGATTTCAAACTTTGACATTATAAGGAAAATTTTGGTACTACTGACATACCTTTTCTTTTCTAGAGGAGAGGCATCACTTTTAGAACATGCATTATATTTTTCATGTTAAGGATTATTTATGTTGTATGTCATTGACAAATATTTATGAATATTGATGGTTTTATTTTTAAACAATCACAAGGGTCTCGTTTTGGTATGTTTTGCGCCGTTGCTATTATAGAATTTCAATGGGTTCAGCTAAAAAATAGTTACGCATCAATCTTGGTCTAAAGGAGCTAGATAGACTAAAACAAAATTGCTCATGCTCTAGAGTCTGAAGGTAAATATATACTTTATTTGAGATATTAATAGTTAAATATATTTACTTTAAGTGCATGATTATCTATGTGCTTTGGTTTTACAAGAGAAGTGTGGCACCGTGATGGCAAAAGAATAAGTACCTCGAAAAGCACTCATAACTAAGGAAAAAGTTATGAGTCTAGATAAATAAAATGGGTCCTGCACCCGCGAGACACATCCTATTTTGCTATTAAAAAAAATTAAGGAAAAAGTTTTTTGTTATGGTTTTTCCCCCCTTATTTTTGTGCTTTATTTACTTTTGTTGGAATTTTTTTCTTTTTAATTTTGATTTATGCTTAAAAAAAAGATTATTTATAATATTTGATTCAATTACTATAAGTAAGCAATATATGCTTTTCAGTCAATATATTTTAAGAATATACATGATTCAATTTCTATTATTGAAAATAACTTTTATATACTTATATCCCTAAAAAAGTAGGATAGTAGAGAATTGATCATGTTAATTCGTATTTAGAATTTTTTTTGATATAGTAACACTCCTAAACAAGAAGCATATTAGATAGTTGAACCTATTAATTTGTATTTTAAAATACCCTATATAGCGAAGAAGTACTTGATCAAAGTGGTAAACAGTATTGGACCAAATTAACTACAATCCATGAATCTGTGCATGGACATTTAGTATTGATTGTTGCGAGAGGTTTGTCTTCCAAAAGTGACCTACCCAATTCGAAGACGGATTAGTTGGAACAATGATTTCGAACACCGGATGCACTATATACAAAACGAAAAAAAAAACCATATGACCTCTTGAATTTGGACTCCGAATGCCTAATATATCAAAAAACGGAAAAAATCAAAACATATGAAACTTTTCATAGGAAAATAATGGTATATTAATGTTACTCTAAAATATAATAAAATCTGCACAACGTGGAGGCATAATACTAGTCTAAATAATCCAATTATTTCACATAGGGTTAATTAATTAACAAAATTAAATGTATCAAAAAATGGGTTGAACACATCAAATAAACGCATCAAAATAAGACATCTATTACTAATTTTTTGCATGGACAAAATACAATATGAGAAAATGTGTTAACCACAAACGGCAGAAAACAACTTCTAGCGGTCAAATACAGAGACTCGTTCTCCAAACAACATAATATAATAATTACAAAATATCATTAAAACAAAAAACAAAATTGAAAATTATTATTTTCATCTAAGAACTTATATATTTCTTTGTTTATACGGATACCTGTAATGATATCAGGCCCAAATTTTTAATTGAATTTCGGGGTCAAAAGAAAAGGAGAAGTTTTTGGAGTTTTTCTACTGTTGGATTGAAAATGTGGAACTCAACATACAAGGGAAGAGTAAAATTTTGGCACGCCTTGATTTCGGTTCTAATGGAGGTAAAAGATCGGAAAATATTAAATAAAGGTAAAATGGTATTTTACTAAAATCGGCCTTGGATCTAAGGAAATATATCTCTGGATTATCA